TGCCTGTCCTTGCCTGTCCTTGCCTGTCCTGCCCCTTTGCCTCTCCCTGATCGCCTCGTCTGAGCGTTTCTCCCTGTCCCGCTGGATTCAGGCCTATCCATCCGTCCTGCCCCTCCCCCATCCCCGCCACCATCGCCACCATCAACCTCCTGTCGCTTTCCTGTAGGCGTCCTCCCTCGTCCCCTCCTGGAATCATCTGTACCTTGCCTCTGCTCCGTCATCTTTCCCTCGAGCCTCGGCTCCTATCTTCCCGATGAGCAACCGCCCTGGAAACTATCGCAGCGTGCCTGCGCAGCAGCAGGCAAGAGATATGCCACCCTACAAGCAGGTCTCTTACACCCCACCATCCCAACAGCAGCACCAGCGTCCTGGTCCACGCGCCATCCCTTCCGACCAGTCGCACAACATGTCCGGCTCCTTCTCCAGCGGCGAGAGCAGCGGCGCCACCCAGCGTCTCCTCCCGACCCAAGCCTACCAGCCTCGCAACAACGCCGCCCCGCAGCGAGGTGCCTACCCCAACAACACGCGCGCAAAAACCGCTGCTACCGCCTCCGCCACATCCACCGCAGGCTACAAGTACGCCACCGGCGCCCAGGGCCAGCCCATCTACGAGGGTCCCGAGGACGACGACGACCTGCACGACTGGAAGAAGGAGAGCCACTCGCACGCCATGTCCTGGCGCGGCATCGCCAACGTCCTCACGCTCGCATTCCTCGTCGTCGGCCTCGTCGCCCTCTTTGCAGGCTATCCCATCATCTCGCACTTTGAAAAGCTCTACAACGCCTCCAAGAAGGGCGGCTACAACCTCGGCGGCACCAACGGCTCCGGTCAGGTGCCCGACCTGCCGCTCTTCAGCCTCATCGATGCAGACACCCCCGCCTCGGCGCTCAAGCGCGTCTCGGCCGCCGACGGCAAGTCCTACCACCTCGTCTTCTCCGACGAGTTTGAGCAGGAGGGCCGCACCTTCTGGCCTGGCGACGACCCGTTCTGGGAGGCCGTCGACCTCTACTACGGCGCCACCGGCGACTACGAGTACTACTCGCCCGAGGCCGTCAACACCACTGGCGGCGCACTCACCATCACCATGACCCAAAAGACGACGCACAACCTCAACTTCCAGTCCGGCATGGTGCAGTCCTGGAACAAGTTTTGCTTCCAGGGCGGCTACATCGAGTTCTCCATGCGCATGCCCGGCGGTCCCTCCACCTCGGGATACTGGCCCGGTCTCTGGCTCATGGGCAACCTCGCCCGTCCCGGCTACGCTGGATCCACCGATGGAATGTGGCCCTACAGCTACGCCAGCTGCGATGCCGGCATCCTGCGCAACCAGACCTGGGTCAACGGTACGGGTCCGGACGGTGCGATCAATTCGCAGGGTACCTACTCGGTGGGTGGGCGCGTGTCGTTCCTCTCTGGCATGCGTTCGCCCGCCTGCACGTGTCCCGGCGAGGACCATCCGGGTCCCAACGTGAATGTGGCGCGCTCCTCGCCCGAGCTCGACATCCTCGAGGCGCAGATCCAGAACCGCGCGGGCGTGTCGCACGGCTACGCCTCGCAGTCGTATCAGATCGCACCGTTCGACCTGAGCTACGAGTGGGTCAACACGTCGGCGGCGGTCAAGATCTACGACGACGACGTCACCGAGGTCAACTCGTACAAGGGCAACGTGTATCAGGAGGCGGTTTCGGCGCTCACCCAGATCCCCGATGCCGGCTACGTCGACACGTCCAACCAGTACCTGACGTATGGCGTAGAGTATCAGCCGGACTGGAACGAGAACGGTGGTGGATCGATTACGTGGTACATCAACGGTAAGCCTTCGTGGACTGTGAACGGAAAGGCGATGATGGCGAATCCGCCCATGGATATCGGCATTCGTACGGTGTCGGTGGAGCCGATGTCGATCATCATGAATCTGGGCATGTCGCCCACATTCCAGCGCGTCAACTTTGGCGCGGGCGGCGTCGAGTTCCCGGCGACGATGGCAGTGGACTATGTGCGTGTGTATCAGCTCGACGGTCAGAACGACAGGATCACGTGCGATCCAGCCGACCACCCGACGGCTCAGTACATCAACGACCACCTGGATCTCTACACCAACCCCAACTACACTGTCTACCCGCACGCCTGGCCCAAGAACAAGCTCACTGGGTGTTAGCAGGCGGCTGACTGTAGGTTTTTCGCATGGTAGAAATCGGACACTTTTTGACTCGATTGCGAGGTGTGCAAGCGTGTATGTGTACTTTCAACTTGGAGGACTTGACACTGGACGATTGCATGCTTTAATGTTGTAGTGCTAGCACTTTTTTGGCCTTGATCTTGTCCTTGAGCTTTTGGTGGACCACTGCAGCTTGGTTAGAACCGAGTCGGTCTAGATCGGTGAGCGAGGTAGGTCTTGTACGTCCTGGCGCAGCTGTTGCAGTTCGGCACACACCAGGGCGACTTGTTCGTCTGCGGTCGGAGGGTGTGTAAGCTGCGTCCATTCGTTGCCATCCGAGCTATCATCAGCATCCGCTTGTGTGCTTTCCATCCGCACCCCTTTGCGCTGTCAGGGTCAGCATCGCAGTGTGCAGTGGCTCGGACGAACGGACGAAGAAACTCAAATCGGCGCCGTCCTTCGGCTGGCCCGAATGGGGAGACTGTTAGAAGGCCCTACGTATGCAGGCAGATGGCAAGAGCGCAAAGGAGCAGCACCAAGCACTCAGCACGCCTTGGTCACGGGGGCAATCTCGCGGCGTCATGCATGAAAAGCGCGGGTGCTCATCTCATTGTGCTCGTCCAACTGACCCCGCTCCCCACTCTGCCACATCCCACCCATCCAAACTACAAGTGCACATTCGCACCATGCATTACACACAATACAGCGAGAAGAGGGAAAGAGGACAGAGCCGGGTATGTTGAGCACCCAAGATGCGATGGAAAGTAGGTGGCGAAATGCAACGACGCCGGCTTTGTTGAGAGGCCGCTCGTATCATTTCGCTCATGATCTAGAAGAGCTGGTCTAGAGGACGTTCTCCTTGGGGAACTTGAGGATGGGGCCGACCTGACCGATGCACATGCCGCCGAGCTTGTGGCCGACGTTGATGGCCTCGTCGATGGACTTGCCGAGCACAAGCGCGCCGACGACACCACCGGCGAAGGCATCACCTGCGCCGTTGGTGTCGACAATGTCGGCCGGGTTGATCTTGGGCGTCTCGTGCACGAACTGCTGCGACTCGCCGCGCTTGGCGAGGATGGTGGGCTGCGAGCCGTTGGTGATGATCACCACACGCTTCTCGGCCTTGATGGTAGCAGCATCGCAGTCGGCGATGGCCTGGGCGATCTGCTTGAGGTCCTTGGTCTCGAGGTTGTGCGCCTGCGCCCACGCCTCGGCCTCGGTCTCGTTGCCAAAGATGACATCAGCAAAGGGCACCACCTGGTCAACCTGCGCGGTGAAGAACTGCGGGATGAAGGGCGCCGAGAGGTTCATGGTGAACGACACATCGCGCGCCTTGGCCTCGTTGGCCAGCACCAGCGCCGACTCGACACCGTGCGTGAGGAAGAAGCCGCCGAGGTAGAAGATCTTTGCGTTCTTGATCGCCTGCTGTGCCTCGGCGGTCTCGAGGTGCGACTTGGCGAACTTCTCGGCCGCACCCAGGTTGGTGCAGAGCGAACGGTTGTGGCCGGTGATGACCACGGCGCACGAGCCGGTGGGCGCATCGTCCGAGAACTGGTAGATCGACTTGAGACCCTCCTTGTCGTTGGCGGCCTGCAGCTGCTTGGCAAGGTCGTCCTTGCCGACACAGCCGAGGTAGGCGGTCGAGTTGGGCGGCAGCACGTACTGAGCGCAGCGGGCGGCGTTCTGGGCAGCACCACCGGCGACGTAGGTGACGTCGTAGTTGTCCACGATGTCCTGGTAGATGGCGAGCTGCTTGTCGTCGGCGAGCACAGCATCGTTGGGCTTGAGGCCGTACTTTTCCAGCATGGCCTCGCCGTTGCGGATCTGCATGTCCAGCAGGGGGTTGCCGAGCGCAACCAGCTCAAAGTTTCCGCCAGCCATGATGATGATGATGATGATGCGGCGATGTGATGTGGGTTGAAGGGGAGATGATGGAAGATGGAAGAGGACGATCAGTGCATTCCTCACCCGGTGTTGCAAAGCCGGCGTCTGCCCAAACACACACCGCTCAGCCGCAGCGTGTGAGCGCAGGCCGGGCGGCAGCAGCACCAGCAGCAGCACCAGCGGAACGTGTCGCAAATTCTTTTTCTTCTTCTTCCTGAGGCGGCCTTTTTTGGCGCACCGACCAGCTTCCAAAAAATCAAGTGACAGATGTCATCAAGTATACGGTCTCACATGGCCAAATCAAAAAAGCCGCGTGATTTACGCGGTGTCGCGTTGTTGGACGCCGCGATTGTTGGCTCAGCCGTACAGCAGCTGAGAATCACTTTTTGCCAACTGCAGGTGTTGGACAGGTGGCCGGCTGAGTCCAAGGTGGCGGCTACTTTCCGTTGCTTCCTGCTCATCCTCCAGCCAACACGTCGAGCCGCGGCGCATACACAAGCCGGCAGCGACTCGCTATCCCCGCCATGACGTCGCAGTCCAGCTTGGAGGTGCAGTCGCAGCCGTCGCGCGACTTCTTCGCATCGTCTCCCTCCGCCACGCCCTCTTCGCCTCGTAAGCCAGCACAAAGGCAGCTCGAACCGCCTGCGAGCACAAGGCAGCCGCAAAGCGAAGAAGCCGCTGCTGAGCTCGACGCTACAGAAGACGACTTCAGCATCGTCGGCTCGACGAGCGCACAGAACGACCAGCCATCCAGGCGACAACAGCCTCATCGAGCTGCAGCCGACAATGCCAAGCCGCTCTTCTTGGCCGACGAAGACGAAGACTTGGACGCCTTGGGTGGCGAGGATGACGAACAAGCAGCGGCGGCCAGCTCAGACTTCTTCTCCACCCAGATCGATACCCAGGCCAAGTCTGCCCAGCGCCAAAAGGCCAAGAGCGACGACGAGGAGTTTGTTCCGTCAGCTCCGTCTCATCCCAACGGCGACCGTTCTTCTTCACCTTCCGAGCCACAGCGCAAGAGAGCAACAGAGACGGCGTGTGCTGCGACCAAAAACGGCAATGCAAAGCGACTCAGAAGCTCGTCGTCCTCTCCGGCTCCAGAAGCGTCCCGCAAGCGCTCGCCAAGCCCGGATCCACGTCTGCGCCACGATGCATTCGACCGCCGCTTCCTTGGCACATTCGTGCTCTCCGCCTGGTCACTATCCAAAGGCTCCTCCTACGTCAAGCCAGGCGATCCCGTTCGCATCTTTCGCCCACGCAAAAAGCCCTTGCCCGCCGAGACGACCTCCAAGGCCTCCAAACTCACCAATGGCGGCGTCAAAAAGACCAAGCAGGCGACGCTCAACTTTGGCGGCGCAGCCAGCTCGCCAACCTCCTTCTTCGCGTCCAAGCAAAAGTCCAAGGACAAGCAAGACTTTATCGTGCGCTTCAGCAACATGCGCGGCTTTGAAGTTGGCCGCCTCCCGCTCGAAGTCGCCACATGGATGTCCAAGCTCATCGACGCAGGCATCGCCGACTTCGAGGGCGTAGTCGTCGATTGCCCCGCTTCGCTCACCGTCGGCTGCGACATTCTGCTCCAAGTGAAGGCCTACATCCGATTCGATGCCTTCTTCCTCAGCCTCACCGCCCTGGCAAACGGCGGCTTCGACGAGCAGAATGACGGTCTGCGTCCAGAGACGGCCGAGTCCGAGATCGAAAAGTCGTTACGCGAGCGCAAGATCAGCCTCGTCCGCATGTTCCGCGTGTGCGACCTCAAGCCGAGCCTCAGCAACTCCATCCTCAAGGCGCACAAGGCGGTCGACGACTTTTCTAGCGACGCCATGCTCGACCAGTACGGCGGCGATGTGGCCGCTTCGGCTCAGGCTGGTGCTGCCGAGCCTGCATCGTCGCCGTCAGCACCAATCGAGGTCGACAGCAGCAGCGACGAGGCAGCTGCGGCCGAGGGCGGCATAGCTACGCAGCTGCAAGAGGCGCAGCAGCAGACCGACGGCGATGCGGATGTAGACGAAAACGACGGCACGGAGCTCAACCTCAACCAGCTCGACGAAGTGTATCGCAAAGCACAGGCGAATGACGCGCATCTGCCCGAGGTCGAGCCTCCGGACACGTTTCTGCTTACCTTGCGGCCGTACCAGAAGCAGGCGCTGGGCTGGATGAAGAATATGGAAAAAGCGCCGGGCCCGTCGTCGCAGCAAGACGAGGCGTCACAGGCGAACGCGGGCGAGCGCAATCTGTCGCTACATCCGCTGTGGGAAGAGTACGAGTTCCCGCTCGACTACGACCAGCCCGAAGCGAATGAGCGTTTGGTGCTCAGTCCGACGCGCATGTTCTACTTCAACCCGTACACCGGCGATCTCAGCCTCGACTTCCAGCGCGCCAGCAAGGGCTCGCGCGGCGGCATTTTGGCCGACGAGATGGGGCTTGGCAAAACCATCATGGTCACCAGCCTGCTGCATGCCAACCGCAGTGCCGAGGAGGGCGAGGAGAGCAGCGACGAAGAAGTGGGCGATGGCGAGGATGGATGGGCAGCTTCGGGCAAGCGGCGCAGCGCGGCTAAGCAGACATCGCTCGCCTCGGCGTTTGCCGCGTCGGCATCGAGCGGTGACGCGCGTCGGGCGCTGCTCAGGGCGTCCGTGGCCAAGGGCAAGGCGTCGCTCGTGGTGGCGCCCATGAGTCTGATCGGGCAGTGGCGCGACGAGATCATGCGCTCTTCGGCGCCCGGCTCGCTCACGCCCATGCTGTACTATGCCGACTCCAAGGCGGATCTGCTCGCACAGCTCGAGTCGGGCAAAGTCAACGTGGTCATCACGTCGTACGGCACCTTGGTCACCGAGTACCGACGATTCCTGGATGGCGGTGGTGCGGCGAATCGGCATCTGTCGAGTACGGCGCCGCTGTACTGCATCGATTGGCTGCGCGTCATCCTGGACGAGGCGCACAACATCAAGAACCGCTCTACGATGAATGCGCGTGCGTGCTGCGACCTGGTCTCGCGCCGGCGGTGGGCGCTGACGGGCACGCCGATCATCAATCGACTCACGGACCTGTTTAGTCTGCTCAAGTTCCTGCGCGTCGAGCCGTGGGGCGACTTTAGCTTCTTCAACAGCTTTGTGTGCAAGCCGTTCCAGGCCAAGAGCACCAAGGCGCTCGACGTGGTGCAGGTCATCCTCGAGTCGGTGCTGCTGCGCAGGGAGAAGCGCATGAAGGACAAGGACGGCAGACCGATCGTCGAGCTCCCGCCAAAGACGATCGAGGTGCGCGAACTCGAGTTCAGCCCGATCGAACGGAGGATCTATGATAATGTCTACCGCCGCGCGTTTATGCAGTATGCCACGCTGAAGGCCAACGGGACGGTGACACGCAACTTTTCGGTGATCTTTAGCGTGCTGATGCGCTTGAGGCAGGCGGTGTGCCATCCGGCGCTCGTGCTGCAGGCGCGCAAGCGCAAAACCAAAGGTGGCGACACCGACGCTGCGGGGAGTGACGAGGTAGGTGGGGCGGAGGCAGGGGTGGATGAAGAAGATGCGGCTGGATTCGGCGATGGTGGGGATGGGGATGCGACGCCGGGGACGGAGGATCTGCGCGAGCTCGTAGCGCAGTTTCAGTCGGCAGGGGAGGGCGAGGGCGAGGGAGAGTCGGGAGGCTATTCGCGCGCCATGGTGGATCGGCTGCTCACCAACGCAGGTGGGGATGCAGCAGCGATGGAGAGCGAGTGCGCCATCTGTTTCGAGGATCCGCAGATTGCGCCGTGCTACCTGCCGCGCTGCATGCACAGTGCGTGCAAGGCGTGTCTGCTCGGCTACCTCCAGCAGTGCATCGACCGGGGTGAGGAGCCTGCATGTCCAACGTGTCGCACGGGTCCTGTCGCTGCGAGCGATTTGATCGAAGCGATTCGCACGCGTCCACCCGCCTCGCCAGACGACAGGAGCGGTATGATCTATGTGCGCAACAACCTGCTCACGTCGACCAAAGTGAGTGCACTCATTTCGCACCTCAACCAGCTTCGTGCCGAGGGCAGCTTCAAGGGCGTCATCTTCTCGCAGTTCACCTCGTTCCTCGACGTGATCCAGCCGGTGCTGGCACGGTACCACTTCCGCTTCCTGCGGTTGGACGGGACGACGCCGCAGAAGCAGAGGGAGAAGTTGCTGGTCGAGTTCCAATCCCCCGCGCGCGAGAGTGAGGTAGTGTTGTTCCTGATCTCGCTCAAGGCGGGTGGCGTGGGGCTCAACTTGACAGCGGCGACAAAGATTTGGCTGCTGGATTTCTGGTGGAACAGCAGCATCGAACACCAAGCCATCGACCGCATCCATCGACTCGGTCAGACCAAGCCCGTCAATGTGTACAGGTACCTCGTCAAGGACTCGATCGAGAATAGGATTCTCCAGATCCAGAAGAGGAAGGACTCGCTCATCCACCATGCACTCAACAAGGATCCAAAGCAAACCGACACCGTCGGCGACTTGGACATCCTCTTCGCCGAGTAGTTCCCCCGTCGGCAATGCAATGCCGTCAATCCACAACGCAGCCCGACACATTCCCCAGCCGCCCCAATCGCAGTCATTCCGCAGTCTCACGCAATCCACACAGTCAGTGCAACACGCTCCTTGGCGGTCGTCGGTGCGGCGTCGGTGCGGATGCAAAGAGAAAAGAGTCTGAGAATTTTTATACAAAGTGAGCCGGAATCATGCTGTCAACAGCCGCGCCAGTCTACCACGGCACGTCGTCGAGCTCGAGCTGCTCGTCCGCCAGCTGCGTCGACAGGGAGAATGCGCTCGACGCCTGTTGCTCGGCGCCGTCGCCACTAGCCGCAGCCTCGTGCTGCTTGAGCTTCTCCCACCACGTCGGGCCGGCATTCGCCCTGCGCGCCGCCGTCTTGGGCGCGGGCGCCACGCGCCTGGCGAGACATATCGACTTGCGCGTCTGCTCGATCTGCTCGACCTCGGCGAGTGCTTCGTCGAGCAGCGCCGCGTCGAAGCGCTGCAGCCGGTCGGCGAAGAGCGCAAACACGTCAAACGTCGCGCCGTCGCAGTCGTCGTCCGCGTCGTCCGCCTGCGTCTGCTGCGCGCCCGCGACCGATTGTCCGATCGACGCCGCCTGCCGTCCCGGCGCGAGGGCCACCACGCCAGCCTCGACCGGCCCGTCCAGCTGCGTGCGCTTGAAGCCCGAGAGCTGGTCGGGCTTGTTCTTCATAAAGTCGAGCACCGTCGCCAGTTCGGGCGGCGAGACAAAGTTCTGCGTGAGCGCCACCGACTCTTCGATGTTGATCACCAGATGCCACCAGCCGCTGGGCACGTACAGCACCTCGCCCTCTTCGCACACGCCCTCGAGCAGCAGCCTGTCCTCGGCGCGCGCCGCCGAGGGTCCGTACAATCTGCGCGTCTCGTGCGCAAACTCGAGCAGCCACTCGGCGATGCTGAGCGGCGCCGTCACCTCGGCCTCGTCGTCGCTCACAAACACACCGGGCGGCGTAACGTGCGGCGGCAGCATCATCCACGCCTTGCGACCCGTCAACACAGCGTTCCACGCCGAGGTGGCGTTGGGGTCCTTGTGCCAGCCACTACCGCTGCGTGCGGGCCCAGCAATGATCCAGCGGTGATCGGGACGCAGCCGGCCGAGCAGCGAGAAGAGGTCGGAGCGCACAGCCGACGAGTCGTGGTCGGCTTGTGCATCGGCAGCGGGGGCGGAGATCTGCTGGNGCGGGCCCAGCAATGATCCAGCGGTGATCGGGACGCAGCCGGCCGAGCAGCGAGAAGAGGTCGGAGCGCACAGCCGACGAGTCGTGGTCGGCTTGTGCATCGGCAGCGGTGGCGGAGATCTGCTGGAAGAACTTGGGCACACGCCACTCGAGCGACGCATGCGGGTCGTCGGCAAACGACGCGTCAAACAGGTAGAAGGGCGACTCGTCTGGCACGGCGTACGGGTCGAATGTCGAGTCGCCCTCGTCGGCGACGGCGGAGTACAGGTGAGTGCCAGCGCGTGTGACGGTGTAGGGGGTATTCTGGAGCGGGAGCGCAGTGCGATCGCGCGGACTGTCGGTGCCGTCTGCCGAGGGAGTGCCGTCATTAGAGATGGTCGCCGAGTCTCGACGGCCAGCCACATCCGGGTTGCCGTCGGCGTCCTCGAGCAGCTGCTGCCACGTCTGTTCGTGGAGGTGCTGCATGCCGCGCGAGTAGCTAAAGTAGGTGGGCAGGCGGGAGCGCACGGCCTCGCACTGGAAGAATCGGTTGGGCCAGCGCTGTGCGAGCTTGTCGAGCGACCACTCGCGGCAGGGCCAGTCCTTGGGCGGCATGGCATTCTGTACGATGGCAGGCCTGTTGGCATAGGCAAACTTGAGCTTGAACTCGGCGATGGAACCAGGCTCTGCAAGGTCGATCTTGGGGATGGGGTTGTAAAGACGGCATGCGGGAGCGACGAGGTGGTCCAAGGGGGCGCTGGCAAGACGGAAGGGGTGGTAGAGGGTGTCCGAGAAGAGGTAGGGCGACTGGATCCTCGGAGCGGGCGGGTCGAGGAGCGCAAAGGCGGAACCGTCCATGGACTCGCGCGCCTTGTCGTCAAAGACGGCTCGGCTGAGCTTGTGGTGCCAGATGAAGGTGCGCTTCCAGCTGCCGCACCAGCGCTTCATCTTACCGTTGAAGCTGAGCAGGAAGGCTTCGCGCCAAACCGAGTTGGTGGCGTTGATGAAAGTGTAGAAGCCGTGACTGACGGCTTCGAGCTTGGCGAGCGTGGCGGGGTCTTCGGCAAAGGAGCTGGTGATGAAACTGAGCAGAAAGTCGTCGTCGAAGCGCGCAAAGAGGCCGAGCGAAGGGACGCGATCGTTGCGGTCCGAGAGGAAAGCGTTGCCGAGCGGCTTGATGCCGAGGGGGTGAGGCAGCTGAACGCGCTCGCGTGCATGATGGAGAGGAGCGGCCGAGTCGGTTCGTGCGCGCTTTGCGTTCTTCCTAGCGGCCGAGATGCCGCTGGAGGAGCTGCCGGTCTCGTCTGGGGTGGTAGAGGGCTCTGTGGAGGGCATGGATGCGGTGCCGTCGGTGAGAGAGTCGTTGTTGGAGGCCGAGTCGGAGTCGGGGGCAAGACGCTTGAGGGCGATGGCTGCTGGAGAAATGGAGGCGTACTTGCGATTGGTTTCTTCAACGTTGATGGTCATTGTAGCGTGTTCATCATGATCGTCGGCGTGGTCCATGGTGAGCGAGGGTACAGTCTGCTGTTGGGGGATCTGCTGACTATGCGTGGAGTCGGTGTGGGTTGCTGTGCGAGAGTCGGATTGACTTTCGGATGCTTCGGAATGGGACAAGAGAGTGATCTGCATGGTGCGGTACGGGTCGAGATGCGGAGAGGAGTGGAGAGGAGTGGGTTGAGCCTGGAGTCAAGAGGCGAGTTTGGGTGGGATCGATCGGTCAGCTAAGACACCGAGATGGAGCGAGAAGGTCTCGTTGATGCAGGCGACAAATTTGCATCAGAAGGTTGTAGGCTGGCGGCAGATAGACGCTAGCACCGGGGAGGTGAAGTTGCGACCGTGGCAATTGCAATTGCAGTGGCAAAGGCAGGCCAGAGGCAAACGGCTGTGATGGGAGCCAGCAAGCCGAGGAAGAGAGGTGTAAGACGGACGAGCAGCCAGAAAGCCAAAGCGAGGACTTGAGGCTGCTTCCTCGAAGCGACGAGCGGGGACGGTGTCTTCTGACTCGTTGGCAAGAGCTGGTGAGAATTGGGGGAAGAGGGGTGTAGGGACGCGCGGACACACGGCCTGAGCAGGTATGCCACGCAGCAAGCCGAGTGTTGAGCGATGAAAAGGTTGATGAAGACGTGGAGAAGGTAGCAGGAGAAGAGTCTCGCAGCGAGAGACCTTAGTGGAGCGCCGTCGAGGAGAGGATAAGGTGATGATGAAGATGATCAGGCGACAGTGGTGGGAGCAGCCGCCACCGAAGCGGCAAGCAGCGGCAACGGCCAACGGCCAACGACCCTTGGCTCTGCACTTTGCCTCTGCACTCACCCACCCGCACCCGCACCCGCACCCGCACTGTTCGCTGGGCGGCATCAAAAACGCCTTTGCGCGCGCCCTCACTCGTTTGACCGCGAAAAAATAGTCTAAATCCAGGGTCTCGACCTTTGCCTTGTTGCCAACGGTGCCGACCTTGTAAGGCCAAATACAAAGCGTTTGTATTCTGAAATCGAGCCGCTGCGGCTGCTCTTTTTCTTACCTCCTCGTTCGGCCGCTCCGCCAGATTCACACGCCTGCCCGCACAGAGTGTGTGAATATTCAAACGGCCGCTCAACAGGCCATCGTCACGAAGGAGCATCGGCTCGAGCCGCGCATGTTCGGCACGCCAGTCGGATGCCAGCCGATCGCCAGCAAGCGAGGATGATCGAGCTCGCCCGTTCCACCAGCGCGCTAGCCTTTGCGTCCACATGTCGTCTCAGGTGACTGTGTCGGATGCAGCCGAGCCTTGAGTCAAAAAGAAGGGGGGG